CATAAAGGCACAGCCTCAGCACCAAATGGAGATGTGAACTTGCTACCCTGCACCTTTCAGCTCACCAAAGACTGTGACTAACCAAATGAACTTTGAGACAACCACCTCTCTACCCCTCCAACCACCCACGACCGCCGTCTGCACCCACCGACAACCGGTGCCTTCAGCCAACCTGCGTCGACAAGCACATGCTGCGTGCACTAAACAACATTCAGCGTTCTGCACCTGATGCCATCACCGCGCCACAGCTTGTGATGCCACAGTGCAAAAGGGGGGTAATGCCAATGTATGCCGCTGCACGCCGCAGCACCAGAGACACTTGCAAGACACCGAAGCAAGTGGCATACCGGCGAAATTTTTCCTCCCTTTCTCTCTTTCTCTCTCCCTTTCACTTTTACCAGGATGCTGCTGTGCCTCCAGCCAACCAGAGGGCAACCGCACTCGGACATCTCACCAGGTCTGGCACCAGGACTCCTTTTCTGCCGGACCCGCACTCAGAAAGTGAATGTGCCGACTGATCCTTACAACGCCTACAGAACACACTACCCCAGCGTAACAACACAATACAGCTGGGTAGGTGCCGATGGACAAAGGACTCCCGCACTCACGCTGAGACCGTGGTTGAACACATGCTCAAGCAACTTGAGAAAATGACTGTCACGAGCACTCACAACAGAGTGCATCCCTGCAGACCATCGACAAGACACTAAAGGGAACTGTGGTAACTTTAAACACTCACAGCGTTGAACCCCATGCACTCCAACACTCACTCCATGAAACAGCTGTTTACTGTCTTCCAGAATGACTTTGCCCAAACTCAGCTGGTAACAGCCCTGATGACAAACCTGCTGCAGGGGGTGAACTCCTCCATCGACAGCCTCGCCAGGGGTAGAATTCCACCGCACCTGATACCCTTAAGCCTCGTGAAAACCGTGCTGGCGTCCGCCATCACCACGCCAACTGACTCTTTACAAATACACCTTTCCTACTCTCTGGGTAGTGCCATCCCTCTCTGCGTCGACTACAAGCAGAGAAGGGGGGGGGGCTTTCTCTCGAACTTGCCCATCATAGAGTCAAGCCGAATCTACCGGCTCAAGAACATTGTCAAGGTCAGATTTTGAAAAATAACATTCACATCAAGATCCACACGCCGGACGGGGTTGACTGCAACGACAGCAACACAAAGCCGTCCTAAGCTCCGAACCCGTACGTGTGCACATTGACCAAAGAAATTCACTATCTCTGCCCTAACAAGCCTTTCCTCAGAGACAACACTGACGGAATCTGCGGGCTGCAGATCAGCGACACCCGCTGCCCTGCCGAAGCCAAGCTACGCACTCAAGGCATCAAGACCCAAGCAGAGAGTGTAAGTGACAGGCGGCTCGCTAACACTCCTGTGCGCACAGCTGCACTCACTTACGACCAGAATGACACCGACACCCGTGTCACCTCGCTCCACTAGAGCCTGTGAATCCAAGCACCGGAAAGTGCCATCCTTCACCTTGACGACCTGGCATGATACCATCTTCCATGCAAAGAGTACAAATTAAAACTGGAAATCCCATCCTTCTCCAGGTACCACACTTTCACCCTAACTCCAGAACGGGAGTTGTGGTTTGCGAAAGGGGGGGTGATCCCAGCTAATTGACATTGCTCCTATCGACACAGCTCTCCAAGCTGTGTCTCTACTACCCATTCTGACTACCTCACCTGTTGTCCAAGCCTGGACCGCAGCCGACACTGCACGGTGTACCTCTATGGTAGTCAGACACACCCTGACACTGGGCGTGACCTTCATCCTATACAGGAGACTCAACGAGATACAAACATCTTCAGCCAAGCTCACGAAAGGTTTCGGACGAAACCCGCAAAAAGGGGGTGCCAAGTCAGAGACCAGACCAGAGGCAGCTTCGAACCTCATAGAGCTGAATCCTCAGCCCTAATAACCACCTGCTGCATGAGTCATGATTCACCTGCCATCCGTCCATTGTGATGATTGTTGTCCGATTAAGTCCACACAGGGACTTCATCAGACAAAAAGGGGGACTGTAAGGACTGGGCCAGGGTGAATCTGAATAACTAAATACCTTCGTGCTAAAATCCCAAAGCCTTTAGCCCCAAAAGGCCTGGAACTTGAAAAAACACACACAAACACACACACACACACACACACACACACACACACACACACCTCCCCCACAGCTGACACCCACACTCAGGACAGAGCGTGGTTTCCTGTTACGAGACACTTGTATGACTGACTTGGAATTTGATGTTCAAAGAGAAAGAAACTTCTTTTCTTTAAAAGACATTTAACCCGATATATTCGATGTGTTTTTATGTGTGTCCATTTGCCCATGTCACATTGTAATGACTATAATTTGTCCGTAACTTAAAAGTGAATTATAAATACCCTAGGTGTATTTTTAATGTAAATGTTTACCTATAACAGTCGTGTTTGATATCGTAAAAATGCCCTTGACTTGACTCAGCCAGATATATGTATGAACACACCGTAAAAGGTATGATTATGTGCATAACACATCTCTGCAGTAGAAATGACCCTTCCTAACACAGGTCATAATTTAATTAGACAAGCAGTCTGACAAGACAAAGAGAAATAAAACCCAAAGTCCCGCCTGTAAACTTCCAACCCTCTAATTGGCCAAGCCAACAGGAAGAGGCTGGATTTCTCATAGTGTGATAAATGACGCTTCTCCCCTGCGCTCGCTCTCTTCCTCCCGTGTCATGATGTAACGTCTCGCCTCCGGGCGAGCTCTTCGCCTTTTATTTGTTTCTAGTTTAGTTGTGTTTTTCATTTGTAGATAAGTCTCTGTGTTTAATTCCAATCGACGATTGAAAAGGAAACCCCGTGACCGTGACATATCTCTTCAGCAAATCCATCTACCAGGGACCTTTAAACGAGCGCGCGCTCTCTTTGAAGGAGAAACACGCGCACGTGACCACGTGACGCGCCGGACCGAGAGACACACACGCTTCTTCAAAGCCATGGAAAGATGCAACGTTAACTCCGCGTGATTTCCCCGTAGAGATCTTTATTCCCTTTTTGTTAGTCAAAGTTTTGTTTTCCGTAGCCGACTCAGTTCACTTCCACGAAGTGAAACGAACTTAGCCGAACTATTTCCCTTTGGAAATGTTACAACAAAGACTGTAAACCTCCGTTCAACACGCGCGCCAAGCAGCCCACGTGACGCTTCCTCACACCCAAAGGACTCAGCTCACGCGGCCAGACAGGGCCGTACAGGAATGTTTCGGCACAGAGAGAAACCATAACATAAGTTGATTGCAAGTATAAATCTCTTTATAGAGCTTCTAAGAAGTTTTAAGATGATGTTCCGTGTTGTAATCGGAGAGGTGAATGTCTTCCTGCCAATGAAATTCTCCCAATTTCTCTGTTCTCTCTCTCCCCATCCCCTTTCCTCTCTCTCTTACTCGCTCACGCGTGTAAGTTATCAATTGTCCAAACTTTATGCATTTCTCGTTCATTGATGTCTTATTGTATCGTTCATTGTTGTCTATGTGTTTGTAAATACATATATCCCATGTAACCGTAGTAAATACATAAGTAGTCATGCCTCTATTAAATTAATTATATATTCATTAGATTGATGTGCTGTCTTTTTGCTCAATTTCAAGTCACTTAAGTGCCAAAGGTCTAAATGCTACAAGCTTTATGAATTACAGATACTTTAAAGAGTAACGTTAACGTTATGTGTTGATGGGCGGGAAACCCAATTCTTCTGGCCAGAGAATTGCGTTTCCTGACATCCTATAAAGTAAGATGATATTGTGGATCCCACAAATATTATCCTGACAATTGAGCTAATTCATTTTACCTGTGTGTGAAACATGGCCCGGGTAATTAACTGCAAGCAACTTGTGGTTAATTTCCGGGATTCACATGCACGCATGCAGGTAGAATGACCGATCCTCCCTTATCGGGAGATTTATTAACATGTAAGACAGATCTAATCCAAACATGTATGAATAATTATTAATTACCAATTATTAATTATGATATGCAAATTCCCCACGGATTAGATCCGCCCTGAATCCTTACACACAAATGGTCCAGATCTCGTGGACACACCGACTTAAACAACCGTCAGTACTTTGTCACTCCAAAGGACATTGAGAATATACGTACATGCTTGGTACGCCGAAGCCATTTGGATAAAGATGATGCTGTTAGTTCAGCCAAATTATTGACCAGTCACCTCAAGGATAATGTTGTTTTTTTTCAGCCTTTTTCCCATGAGAAGGATCTCATAATTATCCTTCAGACTCCCAACATGAGAGAGAATCTACACAGACATGGAAAGAACATTATATTTTTGGATGCTACTCATTGCGTCAACCAGTATAATTTTCCACTTTATACCCTGGCTATAAGAGATGACTATGGCCATGGAGTTCCAGTCGCATTTATAGTAACAGGCAATGAGAAAGAGGCAACACTAGAGATAGCTTTAAAGCAGTTAAGGAGAGTGTGTCCTACTGCACCAAGGTATGTATATATAAATTTTTTAGTTTAATTAAATTTACATACTTGAAGTAGAAGTATTGGTCTGGCCCCAGAAATCTCACTGCCCTGCCAACAAATTACTCTGTAACATTTTATTTTACAGTGCACTTGTTACATATACTTAGCATAGTTATTACATTCTTAAAACAAGATTTTTTTTAAAAGAAATTTACCTTCTGATGCAACACTGCATAAGATGTAAAATACTTGTTTTCAGAGAATGTATCTTTAATATAGTCTCATTATATCTTACTCCACACTGGCAGAGTTTTTCACATGTAAAAAATAAATAAATCTGCTAATGCAGTTATAAAAGAATTTGCTAATTCAGTTATATATAACGCATTTGTATTTATCTTTATTGAAGGATATATATATATATATATATATATATAGTTAACATGGCTATTGTTTCTTCATCCTTCTTGTATGCTATTTTGTTTCCTCTAGGTGCTTTATGGTGGACAAGGATATGTGTGAGATGAATGCCTTGCGGAAAGTCTTCCCAGAGTCAGATATCTTGCTTTGCTGGTATCATGTTATGCAAGTATGTATACATACAATTGTATATATTCTTTATATTTGAAAAATGTACCGTAAGTTAGTTATTGTCTCTTTCTTCAGGCTGTTGTCCGCTGGCTTTCGAAGACAGACTCTGGAGTCAGTGGGCCATCAAATACTGATGTTAGAACAGAAATAATTTATTTCGTCAGAAAGATGAAGCTTTGTGCAACAGTGCGTACAATTAACAATTCAATTTTGCTTCCTTAATTGTACTATTACTATTTATATAACTATTTTAAAATAAACATTAAATCAGTTACATTTAACATTAAATCACCTATTCTTTTTTAATTTTGTTAAAATAGCATCAAGATTTTAAGTCAACTGCTGAACAATTCCTCAAGAGGTTTGAAGATTTCCCAGCTCTTTGCTCATACTTCAAGGATCACTGGCTAGAAATAGGACACACATGGTCTGACTTTGGACGGTGCTACAACCATGCTGACTCCGATACAAACAATCTTGTTGAAAGGTAATATTTGAAATTAAACTCATGAAACTTGATTGAGTTAATTCACATTATGTAATAGAATCACCAGCATTTTGATGTTGTTATCATATCTTAATATCAAACTAACACAATCACATTAAAACATGCATTGTTTTTCTTTGCTTGTCCAATTAGATTTTTCCATCGCCTAAAATATCAGTTTTTGGGAGGCATTAGGAACCGTAGACTGGATGATCTTATCAGCATTCTCATCAAGAAGACAGATGGATACTTCCAGGTCATTCACGATTTGCAGGCAGCTGGAAGAATGAAAAATGCATCTTTGAAGTCAGGAGAAATACTTAAGTCTGCCTCTAGATTGGTGGAAAAAGGTTGGCAAGATAGCATTAATCTTATATCCAACCTTTATGTACCTTTATGAAGTTCCATCAGAACAAACCCCTGGTCTATCCTACAAAGTTTGTCCATCTGAAAGTTTTTGTAGCTGCCCAATTGGAATCAGAGGACATCCCTGTAAACATCTTGTAGTTACTGAGTTGCTGAGTAAACATGACTCTCAAAAATTTCCTGCTTTGGATCATCAAATAAACGCACATGCTAGCGTACTTAAGCAAAAGAAGCTTTACTCCATTCTGTGCTCTGACACAAAAGAGGTAGATGTACAAAGTTTATGTCATGAGAGAATTTACCACACTTCTGCGATGACATTTCAATGCACCTGTTGTACATACTCTTACATTGAGAAATGTGCTTGCCTTCTACTGGCAAGTGAATTATTTGATGTCATATCAACAAGAGCTGTACCTACTTTGTGGCAAGAAGACACGTCAATGCAGTTAAATGTGAACACTGCAGCAAACCACTCTAAAACTGAAGTGCAGAAGTTAAAGGAAATACTGGAGAGTGTGCAGAATTGGCAGACAATTCCTCAGCACATTAGCCAGCAAATTCAAAACCTGCATGACAGTGTAACAAATGCCAGCATGAGTAGATCAACAGCCGCATTTTCAGCAGTAACTACAGACCTGACAAGAAAGATAAGACCATTGTTTCCACACGGAGCAAAAAACATGAAACGAAAGTATGGACAGAAATTCAAAAGACGACAAACTAAATTATAAAAGTGAATGTAGATATGAAAAAAACAAACTAAGGCACTAAGACAATGTAAAATATACATTTAAAATTAACTTGCTAAATTTAAGTGTGCATATAAGAAATGAAGTGAAGGAGGCTGCTGATTTTTGGATGTTTATTTTACTTATACATTTTAAATGCATCGTTTTACAACATCTGAAATCTGAAAAAAAAAAAATAATGCCATCTTTAATTGTAAATAAAGCTAAATAAACCATGAACGTTTTACATTACTCAGCTGTCTGAATGTGTTCTGCAACAGTGATATGTTGTATATTTTAAACCAATTAAATGTAACATTACTTGCTTAACTGAGATGACAATGTTTGTTACAATTTAACAATCATTAGTTATTGTGTTCAATGGCTCAGTGAACCTCTACTTAAACTGACTGATTAAAAATGAGATGACAACATCTACCACTTGTGGTCCATGCGTATGGGTTAGCAGACTAAAAGGTGATTCCTCTCCCAGTTTTTCCCTTAGCAAGTGCTGGAGAGTGCAGAGTGTATTCCTGTAAATATCAATGGACAGATTTTAAAGCAAGATGCAAGTTTAAAAAAATCGAAATGTGGAAAGCAACTTACTTTGCAACGTCTGCCTCAGCACTGGGAACACTTTCAGTCATGTCTAGGTTTACATGTCGCCCAAGCATGGCTCCCAGATCCTGGGCCAAATCTGTGGCCTCCCCTTCACTGAGAGCAGAGAACATGCTTATCTTTGTCTTTGCTTTGATCGGCCGCTGTTCTCTGAGCTCCTCAGGGAGATCCTCTTTACGAACCTTTAGGTAAAACCAATGTTACTGTTTTATAAATGTTTTGCTCTAATTTAAAAGTATAGCAAATAGCTATAAGGTTTATAGAGCATATACAAACCCTAATCAGGCTTCTTAACAGATTGTTAGACATGTTTTCTGCCATGATTCTTCTCTTTAGTTCATCTTGGGTTACAGTGTACTTCCTTTTGGTGCCTGGCACTGACAGCCTACCCAGAACTGTATAGTTTCCTCCCCGGGTTGTTTTGTCGTCTTTTTTTTCCTCAGGTATCTTTTCCTCCTCTATACCTTCTATTTTTCTTTTCTTGGCTATGTTTTTCTCTTGCTCACTCTCAGCAACCGTTTGCTCCTCTTCACTTTCTCTTTCTTCTGCTTTGTTTTCCTCTGCTTCTCTTGCCTGTGCTGCATAAACAAAACTCATAGTCAATCACCAGTATTACAAGATTATTGTTGCACAGGTTAAGTACATATCATCTGCCAAATCAAAACAACAGAAAGTTATGCTTGTGCACCCTATTAAAATATCTTCCTAAAATGTAAGAAAATATTGGCACATGATTTTAGAAATTTTAACTGAATTGATTTCATCAGGCTGTATTCATTAGAAAATAGACAAACACACCTTCTAAACTACTTCGCATTTTGTCCCTGATCTGTGCACGCCTTGAAAATGCATCGGCCAGTGTAAACCAGGATGTACAGTCAAGCTCATCAATTAGTTCTTTGGGAGGATCCTAGAGGAAAGAATTGAAACATAAATTATTTGTTTTATTTTAGTGACATGCACAGTGCCATGATTGAAAGAGAAAAAAAAAGTGCCAGCCAACATCTATGAAACCATTTTACTTACCTTCAGAAAGTTCTCTGCATAGAGTAACACAAATATGCCGCATTCAGACATGTTTCCTTGCTGTCCGGGTACCCGCACTTTCAGGGCTGGCATAGAATCTGCAGAAAAGGTGCGAGGCTTTGTTCCTGTGTTTTTCCACATTTCTGTTAAGTAACTGAAATACAAAAACAACCTTATTAAATGTTTATCTCTATGACATTTTATTGAACTTTTTATTAAAGCATGCCTTGTCCTTGTTTTGCAACATTATACTTGCTCATATCTTAAAGAGATAGGTCACCCTAAAATGAAAAATCTATCAATCTATAAATCTATCAATAATTTAATCACCCAAATGTACTTCAAATGACTTTCTTCTGCCAAACAGAACACGAGAAGATTGTCATCTTTGAGGATTGTCCTTCTCAGTCAGTTTACAGTCAATGACAATTGTCATTATAAAACAGAATTATTTCAAGCTTTATAAATAGAGAATGAACAGTTCTGAAATTGCATCCATCTCTGTGACAGCCCTAGACTGTAATAAAAGTGTCTGTGCACCACATTCTAATTTTTTTTTTTTTAGCCAAACAGAAAACTTTAAGGCACTTTTTTTATCCCTTTATATATTAACAGGACAGCTAGGAAACTAAGATTATTGTTCGCTAACCATTATCCACTTTTCAAGTTTGCTGATATCAAATTGAATTTGTCTTACTGTTACAAACGTAGTGTATGGTTTAAGAAGCCTTGGAATATAATAAATGTGTAATGACTACTACTTTCAACTGTCGTCCTTTTTCATGCTATATGGAGTTCAAAAGCTAACATACAGTACTTATTATCGTCACTGTATGATAATGACTAATCCCAGGTAACCATTTCAAAGTCCTCCTTTGTGTTCTATAGAAGAAAGTCATGTATGTTTAAAACAAATTGAGGATGAGTAAAAATTTTAATTTTGTGTTGTATTTACATAAAAATATGGGCCGATATACAACAGAACCAACCTTCGAATGTTTTGGAACAAATCCATGCTGTCACTCACTTGCTCAGACTGGGAGTCTAGCATTAAAATGCAAGGCCTAAATGTACAACACAATTGATTTAACACAGAGAAATCTAATAATATAAATGTTTGATAATGGACTAAGTAGCAGCGTTATTTCATTGTGGGGCAACAGCGCCAAATATAATTACCCAAATGCTAAATACATATTTACCTCCTTTTTTGCACCAATTTTCGTCCCCTTTTGATGTGTTCCACTTCTTCATTTCCAGGGAAGCACACAATCATGAGTCTCCAGTGATTTCTGAAAATCATTAATAGACAATACAAGTAAAATAAGTTTTGATAATTGCATATGTGCCATTCACAGTGCTACTATTTTAAGGGGCACCATCACTTCCATTATTATAAATGTTTAAATGGGCATCTAATATGTAACATGAAAAGTTAATTAGACTGGTTATTGCATAATAAACCCCAATATGTGTTGTTGTTACTGAGAATCAACAGACTGTTAGAAGGTGCGACTGGCCATTCATATTTGAGCTTGACACAGAGCTGTGTAATTAGTCATAACAACCAGTAAATAAATAAAGTTCTCACCTAAGAACATTCTCGACTATCAAAAGATAGTCCTTTCGAAAAATGTCCTCATGTTTTGTCCAGTTGATGACACCAGAAAATCCACTAAAATTGCACAGATGACATGATAAATCATGTGGTTACAATTATTCTTCAATAATAGGATTCAATATATAACTATGACACTACATGGCTTCTTCAAGAGCCATGCAAGGCTAGACACTGTAGCATGAACATCTACAAATATATAAAGAGAATCTGGCTGTGAAATTCAAATTCATTTAATGATCCCTTTATCTTTGTTAACATATCAGTAACTCCTACCTGGTTTTTAATTTAGTGTAAAAATGCACTGGGTAGATCAAAGATTTCCGCCTTATATGACGTCCTAATTCTTCATGAACAGACCTAGAAAGATTTAGTTGAAAATTATTGCTAAGAATATTATGATTTGCAGTTTTATGATGCTTCAAAAGAATTACCTCAATGCAATGTCTATGACAATATCATTCAGCCACATTCCATCATCTAGTGTCGCAAGTGACTCTTTCGTCAATAAGGGCACACGGAAGGACCTCAAAGGAAAAAAAGGAAGAAAAAAACAACACATTTTTGTACAAATGTTGCAATAAGGCAAATTTCTGGTTTATATACAGACAGACAATATTTTAATAATATTTACCCTTTATCTTTCTCCATAGATGATCTGTACAAAGAAAAAAAATTATGTTAATTAAGAAATTTGAAATTGGTTTCATATTGTGATCATCTTCAAATGAGATACAACTTATTGAATGAGCTATGAGGTATGATGCGCCTGGGTCAACAAAATATATTGTATTATTATGATTATTTAAATACAGTGATTGATTACTGTCTGTCTTATATTAGATGAGTAATAAGGAATGATGTCCCTGAGTCAACATAAAAATATGATGTTCCTGGGTCAACAAAATATATTTAATTATTAGTATTATTACTATTATTAATATTAGTGAAATATTACAGTTTGTCTAATATTAGATATTAGATTATTATTATGATTATTTAAATACAGTGATTGATTACTGTCTGTCTTATATTAGATGA